CTGGAGTAATTACAGTGAGACAAACACTTCAAACAGTGCTCTCTCTCTCTCTCTCTCTCTGTCTCCATCCTTCCAAAAATACCCTATGACAATTCCCTAGAACGATTTTATTTTATATTCTTAGGACATCATTCTGAACATAATAAATTCTTCCATGGGTCTTCAATCACCACGGAGGGCGAAAATATATCTAAGTCATGCAGTTTACGGGAGGTACGAGCTGTCATGGATATAGAGGCTGATACTGTGCCAGCGTGAGGGCAGAGACAGAAAGAAGACACTGATTTCTTGAACAACTCACCTATATATAATCGAATCCACAAGGAGCGCTCATACTTTGATCCATCAGGACGCGAAACATCTTCAAAGCACTCTCAAACACGGAGTTTTACTGTGGGCAGCCAATTTCACAGCCATCATGAAGGCACTCGACGACTACAGGAGTTTTGTAGAGGAAAGAACAAGGAGTAAAGAGCGACAACAATCGCTTGAAGAAAAAGCAAAGAAAAACAACTGTCTCTCCAGTCATTTAGATGCTGTTGCCCTTGACATCTGGTTCCATCCAGAGGACGCGACTTTTGTTTGTCCCCAGTGCTCTCCGTTGCTATGCGTATCGAAGGAGCCGTGACGTCACACTTAACAGCCCCATTGTACTACACATGTACCTTGACCTTCCTAGGATCTGCCAGCTCTACTGCACTAGTAAGAAGGCAGACGCACCTGCGCACATGCCCATTACTATACTGGTAGCCGGCCATGATATGCCCATTCCTATAGCCGGCCATGATATGCCCATTCCTATAGCCGGCCATGGTATGATTTGATTTGATTGATTGATTTTATTTTACTTCGCAAGTTCAAACGGGTTCCTGGCCCAGTTATATGAAAGCGAAGGATAGAATTTGCCAAAATCCTAATGAGCAACAGCATAGGCAATATTATCATAGAAGTGGAGTACTATGCGAGCGAGAATACTGAGACGAAAGAAACATGTCAAACCTGACGAAACACAACCTATTTCAGGCATACATAAGGAAGGCAGGCTAGCTTAAAATCTTGCAATCTGGATACGGTGCGCACCTCTCTAGGCAAACTGTTCCACAGCAATGCTCCTGCGGTGGCGAATCTCGTTTGGCCACACCGACTGCGAGCTGGCTGGCTGAGCAGACCATTGGCATGCTGATGGCGCGTACTTCTGCCGCTGCATGCTGCTGGTTTGAGAAGCTGGGCTAGAGCAAGGCTAGTGGAGTCATTTAGACAACGCCAGATGAAGATCAGGAGCTTTTGTTTGAAAAGTTCAGTGACGCGGTAAATCGAGTTGGCAGCCAGGAGGGGCTGCATCGCGGAACTTGGCGGGCTGCCATCAATGCATCGGATCGCCCGGTTTTGCATGGCTTGCAGACGCTGAAGTTGGGTCACGCGGAGGGCTGCAGAGAAGCTGCAGGCACCATATATCATATCCGGCATGACAATAGCCTTTACATATACCTTGCGCGAGCTGCGGGAGAGGCATCGACGGGCTCTCCACAAGGCGCCTATCTTCCTCGCAACTTTGGTCACTATGGCGCTGACGTGTACATCCCAACTCAGGCGGTTGTCAAGAAAGACACCAAGATACCGCGCAGACTTCACTATCGGTAGAGAAGTATCGCAGCACACGATAGAGACCTCAGGCCCGGCATGCTGCGGTGAGATAGTCATTACCTGGCTTTTGGAGGCGTTTAAAATTAGGCCGCGTGACTTAAGCCATATGGCGAGATCAGTGACAGCTGAAGAGACGGATTTGGAGACTTCCCCAGCGGAAGCTTTTGAATCATACAGAGCAATGTCGTCTGCGAATTGCACGCTGGGTATTGGCGATGAGACCGATTTCACATCACGGGTGTAGACGTTAAAGAGAACAGGCCCCAAGACGGAGCCTTGGGGCACACCACAGGTGCAGTCAAGAGCACGACTTGTGGCCGAAGCGACTGTAACTTGCTGCCTGCGATCTGTCAGGTAATTCGCGAACCACTTCAGGGCGACACCAGAGATACCAACGTCAAAAAGGTCTTGGATGAGGATACCATGCCGGACTTTGTCAAAAGCCTTGGACATGTCGAGGAGGCACAGCCCAGTTACCAGACCACTGTCCTTCGCCTTCTGCAAGCTGTCCGTGAGAACACAGAGGGCATCCTCAGTGGAGCACTTCTTCCTGAAAGCAAACTGAGAATCAGGTAGGGCATTACTCAAGTCTAGATGGCGAACTAGCTGACGCTGCACCACTCTCTCCAACAGCTTTGAGACAACTGGAAGGAGGGACACAGGGCGATAATTGGTGGGGACTGATGGGTCCCCGGTCTTGTAAAGCGGTACAATGGTCGCCAGTTTGAACGCCAAAGGAACCGTGCCAGTACGGAGGGAAGTGCATGCCCATTCTATAGCCGGCCATGGCATGCCCATTCCTATAGCCGGCCATGGCATGCCCATTGACGTTTATCATCCGTACTCTGACTCCGACTCCCCGAATATGAATGATGAATGTCGCCGCACTAGCGACGCTCTTGGACCTCTGGCTCCCCAACTCTCTCAAGTCCTTCATCCTGACGCAGTAAAATAAGCTGCTTGCACCTGACACCGGTCTGGAGCTCGCGCTTTTCCCACCGACCTGACCCTTGACTGACCCACAACTGCCATCCAGAGCAAACGAAAAGTCCATCGAACCTTTGACTACATGTAGGCACCACTCCCTGCTCAATACACTGTGTTTCGGGATTCACCCCTCATCAGATGAGCTTGAATAGGCTGAGGACGATTGTGCCTGAAGTGAAGAGCACCACTTGTACAGTGCTCCCAAAGCCAAACCATCAACAACAATGGATACTCTCCAAAAACAACAATGGATACCGTGCTAACCGAGGCGCTCTGTTTCCAGCGCGACAAACACCTCGTGAACACCAGGTAGCAGGGTGAGTCAGAGTCGCTCATGAATAGGTAGAACAGACGGCGAGGACCTTGCTCAGGCTTGCTGGTGATTCACAACGCTGTCACCTCCAAGCTAAGCACAGTCATGTAGTCGTAAACCCGCGGTGGGCACAACGAAGTAGTGCTAGGGACTTCGGCGTCAATTTTTTTTAAGGAAGTACATGTTTCTGAACATTCAAGCGATGCCGACGCGGATCCCGCGAATATTATTACCGGTATTATTTGTGCAGTAAAACCTGTCAAGGCGACCACCTCTCCAAGAAGACCACTGAAGCCAGGACCAAGGGACGCTATTTCCAGTCAAATGACCTTGGATAAGGAAACCACCTGGTAACAGAGACCACATTTTGAAGGCCCCTCCCTTGTGCGGTCGTCTTGGACAAGTTTCACTGTAGTTGGCTGCTCCCCACACTGGACTCGCGCCGATGCGACTTGACACTCAACTACTTCCTCACGACTGCCATCCACAGCACATGAGAAGTGCGTCGAAGTTATAAAAATAGCATGAACGAATACAGGAGACAGGAGGCTGCATGCTTTTGCTGTAGACGTTTTAATTTGCTTCTGACACCGACTGGTTATGAGAAAACTTTGACCAGTACATATACTGTTCTGAGCAGGCCCCTACACCTGCCATCTGGTTATGTGCTTTTTCAAGTAAATAAAAAAATAAAATAAAAATTAATTTAGAAGAGAAAAGGACATATGGATACGAGTTAAGAGTAACTCTCCATCACTGTAACATGATAAAAATAATAAAAATTAATTTACTAGTAATATAGTGCTGTTTCACCCTCGGTGGTGGTATCATTGTCCTGTTCTGCTATACCATGTATACCGCTTGTGCTGGTGCGTACTACTACTAGTAAGTAGTATTCCTTTCCTGGCCTGATCCAGCCGCCAATGCATGGCGCTGACCCACGCACTACCGCTACACACGTACACGCAAGCTGACTCATACATGTACACTAGTCTACAGTCGAGTCAATAGCTACCCAGTATAATTGCTTGATAGACGCGCTCAGAACAATAATACTGTCTGTGAAACTTCACTCCTCAGCTCCAACTCAGTCTTTTTACTGCAATTCAGTTCAATTTATATTGCATATGTAATGTACAATAAATCGCAGAAAAGAGACCGTTTTTGGATTGAGGAGTGAAGTAACATGTGTAAGTGGTTGCGGACAAAACGAAAAATCATTATACTGTCTGATGACAAAGTGCATGAAACTTCTAATAGTTACTGCGAGGACTGCCTCCTCTACCCTGTAGTACTGTATTCGTATATCCAGGACCACCGGAAGCAGTTGTTGATTGGTGCGGTAGTTTCAGTGCCTTTCATACAGTGTGTGCATGACATGGCGGGTACACATGACCTCCATAGCAGTGAACATGTGTTGGTAGCCACAAAGTTGGTCCGGTGATGACCTGACCAACCTGACCGGTTCCGGCAGCCCTGATATCATTCTGCACTCTGGTGCATTGAGCAGTCTTGTGAGCTTTCCCGACTGGCCCAGATTGTAGAAAATTACATGGATGACTTCTATTGCCGCCGGTATGTATGTGTTGAACCCTCACTGCACCACTTACACGCGGCAGAATTAGAACCCAGGGTGGCATTCATAATGTAGAAGTCAATGCCAAATACCGCTGTTTTGACGATGGCTGAAATGCGTGATACTTGAAGTTAGTTACAGCTGCACAGGCTTTCGCATCAATTGTATGTGTATACTGCTCTGCTTCGAGCTGCCTGTACCGGTCTTGTTTGTTCATAATGATCATGTACAAGTCATTATACAGTAAAACCTGTCAAGGCGACCACCTGCCTCAGAAGACCACCTGCCCCAGAAGACCACTGTAACCAGTACCAAGGGCAGCTATTACCAGTCAAATGACCCTGGATAAGGAGACCACCTGGTAACAGAGACCACATTTAGAAGGTCCCTTGAGCGGTCGTCTTAGACAGGTTTCACTGTACCTCTGAAGTACAATAGAGACATGACTTGCCATCCAGACAATCAATGGCAAGGTGGGAATCAACTTAATATCCACCATGTGCCTATAGCATGGTGTAGCCTCAGGCTTTATTGTATTTTAGTACTTGTACCATTTCAGTACTGCATTGTGTGGCTGAGGCGCTACCTGGTGGACACGTTTCATTGCTAGACTCCGACAACACTGTGCAATCGCTTGAACTTACAGGTAGCAGTAAAGTTTTAAACATCTGAGGTGTGGATCAGCCCATACCAGCAACAGAATACTAAACACTCCGAAAGGGTAACTAATTGATATGGATAATAGTAACACACTAGGTGAGTTGCTAAAAAGGAAACTGATGAAATCCTCATAAAGAGGCTAAGTGAAGATCGACAACAAGCACACTCATGTAGAACTGGGCATATCATGCTACTTTGAGAACTAACCAAAGACTGTAAGTACTAGAAGGAAGGAGAAGGAGGCATGTAGGCACAACGTCAGATGATGTGTGTGCATGTGTGCGTGCGCATGTGAAGGTGAAAGTGAATGATGTCATCACCAGAGAGCAGTGGTAGACGATTCACAGGGAAGCGGTCGCTGGAAGACCGACAGCTTCACTCATCATCCACTTAAACTCTGTAAGCATGAGGAGAGAGAGAGAGAGAGAGAGAGAGAGAGAGAGAGAGAGAGAGAGAGAGAGAGAGAGAGAGAGAGAGAGAGAGAGAGAGAAAGAGACAGAGAGAGAAAGAGACAGAGAGAGAGAGAGAGAGAGAGAGAGAGAGAGAGAGAGAGAGAGAGAGAGAGAGAGAGAGAGAGAGAGAGAGAGAGAGCGGCAGATAGATAGATAGAGAAATAGAGAGAAAAGAAAGAGAAAAGAAAGCAACAATTAGGCCAGTGAAGCACGAGGGCATAATCAGGAACATAATTATTATGATCACTGAATATCCAAAAGGATTGTGCTAAACATGTAGGTTATACTGTTCTACAGACAGCTGTCATCTTGGAATCGGGCCAGAATGTGAGAATTTTATAAAATACACTCCACCCAACTCGCACATAGAGCAGCATTGATCCATGCAGCTACATGTATATAAAGCGTACATATTAGACGGATGCATAGCCCATTATAGGATAATTCTTCTGACGGTTGTCAAAATTGTAGGTGGAATTGTAGTAATATTGCTGCCATTGCTAGGTTCAAACCTGGCATTCACATTGGAGGGCAATATCAGGCTTAATAGAACAGAATACACGTGGAAACTCACTTTGAATGCACAGTTTGCATGTGTATGCTAAACCTAGGTGAAACTCGTTACTAAAGAGGTGCACAATCATGCCTCCTATACTACCCCCCCCCCCCCCTCCCACTCGGACTTTCAGGGCTCACCACGACCGTACAAAGCGTCAATATTACCAATCAGCGCACGGCAAAACGGGCTGTTTCTTGCAATTGTGGGGTGTTTTCTGAGTGGAACTTGGCTGTATTCGTTAGTTTGAGGCATTAGGCCATTGTGGATTCGTGTTCAGAAGGTGTGTCTTTGGAGGGTTACCGTCTCGAATTTTTCGATTTGGCCTTCGTTTGCCTGAGATCGGATAGTGAAATCACTCAAACGCGAAGGCGTGCGAACAAGTGAATGAAGAGAAAATTAGAAATCGGGGATGGTAAACCGATAGAGAATTCCAAGACCTTGAAAATGAGCTATCGATGGTAAAAATCGGCCAAGGAGAACCGCTGTTCTACTTTTTGAAGACATCAAGGTCGGCCGTGCGTCCCCATGGTCCCCGCGCGCACCAACAAAAACTGGCAGCCGTGCGCATATCTGCAAGTGCAACAAGAAAGGACGGAGGAGACAGCAAGCGTTCCGAGTGAAGAGTTTACCTTCGTATTGACTCAAGCTAAGGACTCATGCCAGTCAGGGATCATACCAGTCACCTCTCATCATGGTCATGACTAAGGGATTCATTTGTGGCCAGGAAACTCCCCACTCGCAGCGTGAAAGCTGCGAGGCCAAACAGAAAAGAGTGTGCCGAGTCGCGATCAGGAAACGCTGAGTTCTACTGACAACATTGGTTAGCTAGGCGCGGCAAATTCTTGTAGATGCCAGGACTCCAGTTCATCAGTACCTCACGGACATACATTGTATCTTGGTCGACACCCACCAGCGGGTTGAGAAAAATGACCAAGATGGCTTGGAGAAAGGACGTCTTCTCCGCCTGTCTTTCCCAACACCAAACAACAAGATTCGCTTCGGCACTGGCCCTTCGCTGTACAGAATAGACCAGGGAGTCGTAAAGTACCGGTATTTTACGACTAGACTGTACATCAATCAGCATGAACTCGGGTGCGTAGCCGCTATGACTGCACAAACTCTGGCCTTGGCGGCATCGCCATGTTTTCAAAATGGTGGTCGACGCTTTTTTGAATTTTGTATGGTTGTGGTGAGCCCTGACTTTGTTTGTGTTACTGTAAAAGCAGAAATTTTCGGTGGTGTAATATTTTCGGTATTCTCCGAAATCGGCGGTTCGGTGGAGGGAAATTTTCGGTAAAACCCGTTTTCCAGGTAAGGCCACACTTTGTTTTTTCTATGTTTCTTGTCGGCAAATTTTAACAAAAGGTATGCGGGCGGGCGGAAAAAAAAACAAAAGCCAAGGAAAAAACAAGAACAATTTCTACTGAAAACTGTATACATTTTACATGTATATGCGTGATTCATTCAAGACACTGTATAAACCATTACTACAATGTACAATCATGTACATGTAGTCCCATACATGATTGCACCACATTATCGTATCAGCCCACGAATATCAGGCAAACTGCAACAATGAGAGTATAACGTTTGATGAATACGAGATGGCGAAGAGCACAAACATTTATCTGCTATCGCATCAACAAACGCTTTCCCACTTGTCATTTTTGGTTTTGTTACTTCAACGTTCTTGTGTCCGCTTATCAAACTCTTGTCTCCACGCTGCTCATCTTTTCCTCGCCATGCGTCTATTGCTTGGATTTTCTGCCCACAACATCGTTCCACAGGCGCCAGTTGCCACGGAACGCGTCCGACTTACGGTGTTCCTGGGACCCACAAGGCTCAAGCAGTGAACGACTGGAAGCTTCGTAATGGCAGCCTTTAATATCGCAGAGAACAGATAGGACGGGGAGCGCTCCTTTGCTGCTGTGATGCAAACGTTTACGATTTTGATTGACGCATCTAGCTGCTGCAGCATGTGCAGCGTACATACATGTACGTAGTACACTGTATGAATTTTTATTCCGAAATTTCTGAAAACCTACGCGGGCGATGACGAGAAACATAGAAAAAACAAAGTGTGGCCTAAGTGTACTACAGTCGTCCGTCTCTAATCCGGCACCTTTTGCTACGGCGTTTTCTGCTGGATTAACGAGGGTGCTGGATTAAGAAATCCTGCCCTCTGACCCGGCCCTACCCAATTGCATGCATGTGTCATACGTCAAAACGCAGGGTTTTTCCGTGTCGATCCAAGTATTTGGTGCACAACTTTATATTCTCAACTGTTCTCCAGGAATATACACAGTGATAAAGTGATAAAGTAAAACAGAGAACATGTTCACATGTACTCTTGCACACACACGCACACACACACACAGACCTGAAAATTGGCAGGACACTACTTCTTGCTAAAATAAGAAAGTATGGTTGACTGCTTAGCAGTTGTCTCCTGGACAACATTGACCCTCTTGAGAAGGCCACGCAAGCAGTCGACATCATGCAGGTCGAACGACGGATGTCCTTCGGAGCAAACAATTGCATCAGCAAGTGCACGGGATGCTTGTGCCAGAGTTGGAAGGCCGTGTTGGAGTGCGCATCCAAGATGTGCTAGAGCTGTTAGCCAGTTAGTTGTAGAACGTCAGTACCGTCGGTCAGTGTCGTGCATCGTCGCTGATTGTTTAGTAACTGGTGGTGTTAGTGGACAGTATAGCGTAACTTGTAGTTCCTTGGTCTTTCTCTTTGTATAAATTGAGTTCGGGTTCGGAAAAGTCCTAACAACCAACCACGCGCGCGGCACTGACCAGACTGGCCTGGCAAGGAGTGCACCTGTACGGTACGCGACTAACGACTGCCGGATTATGAAATCAAACTACGTGCAGTTTGAGCGATTCGTTTCAAAAAGTCACTGCCGGAGGCGGAATTCAAGTGCCGGATTACGATGTAGGAATTGAACGAAAAAAATCGGTTTCATCAGAAAGTGCGCCGGTTGGCAAGGGTTCCGGATTAACAAGTGCCGGATTAGAGAGGGACGACTGTAGTACTACATGTATACAGTATCGGTTGTACCTAAATTTTCGGTGCGTTTTATTATCGGTAAAAATTGTCGGCACCGAAGTTACCGAAAATAAAACACCACCGACAATTTCTGCTTTTACAGAATGTAGCATTAGGAGTTGCATTACTTTATGAGTTGAATCCATAACGAGGCACAGCGGTATATTTTTAACGATTTAACAAGAAACGATCCATTGTTAACCGTGTGAATGTTCTTACAAACTGTTCCTTCTCTCCTTTGTACTAGAGCAATGAAGGACGGGTGCGTGATAGCAGGGTCGTTAAACTTTGTGCCCGCAAAGTGGAAACAATGCAAATAGTTAGACTTTTTGGTTCGTCACACTTTCATCTCTAACAGTATGTGTAGTAGGCCTGTACTTGCAGTACTGCCATGGTTACATACTTGATGGTGTGGTGTCAGCGATGTCTGCTACATCCCACTAAGCACGCGTAACAGTGGTGGTGGTGGCTACACACGGCGGGTAAGCAGGGGTTACAGGCCCTGAGGATGGGTACGTAGCCGTGGTGACGATTGCCAGCTGCTTCCGCTGACGGTATCGGACAAGAGGACAGCACGCGCAGCACAAGCAACACAGGATGATGCCGCCGACTATCAGGATACACCCTGTTACGATCACTCCAATGGCCCTGGGGCAAACAGAAAGACCAAAGAGAACCAGAGATCCAGCTGGAATGGTCGCTTGTTCAGACTCCACTGCGGCCAATTCATTGGTTACGCCAAACACCAACACCAACACATGCACACACACACACACACACACACACACACACACACACACACACACACACACACACACACACACACACACACGTACACATACACACACACACACATGTATACTTGTACTTGCTCACTGCCATGACTGGTCATGCGAATCTCACCCAAAGAGAGAGAAATTCAAAAGGAATCTCGGAAAGATGACTCAATTGGCAATTGAACCACCCAATGGCCGACAAACTCTGAAATCCCCAAACTCTGGGTGGATTTGGAAATGTAAAATAGAAGAAAAACACATTGGAACGAGTTATGAAGCAACAATCCACGACTATCCACGATTTCTATTGGCTCAGTTTCCGGGTTAAACTTTGGATTTGGAAACGATCCTACTTATGGGCTCAGCACACCTCAGTCAGTGAGCGAGGACAAGGTGCAGAAAAAGGGATTGACCTCATCAAGGTGTCAGTCCCCGGGATCCAAAACTGCATTCACCCCTGGTCCGAGTGAAGGTAATACTAAGATGCTAGTGTGGCTGGCCTAATCAAAGTGGATCTGATAAAGGCTTCACTAGCACCATTGATTACACAAGAGTTGCTCTAGCCAGAAGGTGTCCATCGGCCAACTGGTATGTATTGTATACTTCAGTAGAAAGTATGTGAACCCTGAAGCCAACAAAGGTGGCAGCTAAAACATTACACCTTCAAGCAGCCGAGCCCGTTAGCAACAGACCCAACACTATCTGGCATACGTGTACCCACCAACCGAACAAGCTGAACATTTTATGCACTCTATTATTTCCCCAGAACACTATAAACATCAGATTCCTCAAAACAGTGTTTAGCCATGCAAGTGCATGACTAGTGCAGAGCCCCTCATCAACCAATCCTCACCATCCAGCTAGATAAGTCGAATCCAGCGTATCAAAGCAGCACAATTTGTCGTTGGGACTGTACGAGCAGCAATCAGTCTGACTGATGCCAGGAAAGTCAGGAATATGCGGGCACTCTACCAAGCCGCACTTCTTCGCATCTAATATTGTACACACAAACAGAGCAGGAAGCAGTGCAGGATAACATTTCTTTCAAAGAAAACGATGCCACGGATGTCTGCAGTGCAGAGCAGCCGTTGTCTGAAATGTCGCTAACATAGAAGTTAGAACTCTTTAAAGGGGAAGTTAAGGCAAAAATTAAAATTTCACCAGTTGTAGTCTTCGGGGTGCTGAGTCGAATGGTCGTGGTCCGAGGAAGCTGAGACGCTCCCTTCCTACTTGAATCCCAATCGAACTCGCGCACTTCCACCGAAACTGGGTGACTGCGCCCTACTACATGTAGATGGGGATTTTGTATGCAAAATGTCACTAAAAGCGCCATTTCGTTCTTATAAAAGCACGGATGACCGCGATTGGCCCATATGTTGTAGTCTTTTGGACGCTGAGTCGACTGGTTTTGGTCCGAAAAGGCTGCGATGCAGCGTTCATCCTTTATTCCCAATCGAACATGGTTGAACAAGCGGTCACGTGCTCCTGCGTACGCCAGTCACCTGGTCACCGTGCCTGCAGGGTACAACTTACTAGCCTGTTTGACCTTTTTTGGGTGCAGTCCTGTCACTCGAGTTGAACCTTGGTGTGAAAGTTGTCGCCTGCTGGCGTGGTGACCAGGTGATTTGGGCATCCAGGGGCACGTGACCACTTGTTCAACCATGTTCGATTGGGAATAAAGGAGGAACGCTGCATCGCAGCCTTTTCGGACCAAAACCAGTCGACTCAGCGTCCAAAAGACTACAACATATGGGCCAATTGCGGTCATCCGTGCTTTTATAAGAATGAAATGGCGCTTTTAGTGACATTTTGCATACAAATCCCCATCTAGTAGGGCGCAGTCACCCAGTTTCGGTGGAAGTGCGCAAGTTCGATTGGGATTCAAGTAGGAAGGGAGCGTCTCAGCTTTCTCGGACTAAGACCATTCGACTCAGCACCCCGAAGACTACAACTGGTGAAATTTTAATTTTTGCCTTAACTTCCCCTTTAAGGTGGCAGACTACCCAAAAATTCGCTGAAAAATCGAATTTGTAAATTCATATTGAGTGCTACGTCAGTTGAAAGAGCATGAATAGCTGCAAATTCTCTGAAAATTGTGTCCCGATCTGACCGGCCGTTCAAGAGTTATGGCCGAAAATGTGCCCTTGCAAGGGAAGATTTTGTTGTTGCACGCTGTCATTTGTTGGCAGCACTGTATTTGAATGTGAGCAGACCGTGCGCAACTTGTCGTATCATGGAAACACGTGAAAGTGTGCAGAATTTTGCTCCAAGTCCAAAAAATCAGGTTTTTGAGCCACGTATTGGGCTGCACGGCGGCGGGCGAAGCCCGCCGCCGTGCAGCAGGACTTTTGCCAGCACCCTCGTGACGTTGCAGATATGTGGCTTGATTACTAGTATTGTACTTGACGTTGATTTAGTGACTTTGGCAAGTTTGAGTCGTGTCAAGAAGTCAGGTAGGATTCAGTACTAGGCAGTAGTGAAACGTGAGTGGTAGTCTTTGCCGGTTTCTGAGGGTATCCTGGATTTGGTGTGCAGCGCTGTGGAAATGGCTTGCTGTGGAGGTCCCAGCACTGGATGTTGTATCAAAGGTACGACCTCGTAGCACGTGCTAATCCTAAAAAAATTCGAAAATTGACTTGGGTCTGTGGGAGTGTGTGAGAGAACGCCCACTCGTTCCGTTGTGACAGATTCCAGGGCCTCGTTGAGGGGCCCTACCCCATCACCCATGGCTGCTTCTGGACTTGTTCTAGGTTTGAGTCCCGCGCACGAACAGAATGAGCACGAAAATGTGAAAAATTGTAAATGCATTTGTTTGGCTCCTGGGTGGCTCGCACACCGTGGCACTATGCCGGAAATTTGAGTTTTTCCGGCCTGGAAAGCCTGTCAGTGAGGCGCAAGAAATACATAATCCTACACAGTTGCGAGGGCATGATGCTCTGATCAGGCCCGAGGTCTGTGAGTGATCTTGCCCGAGGCCCAAGGGGCGTAGCCCCGAGGGCGTCGCGACCAAGGGCAAGATCACTCACATGACCGAGGGCCTGATCAGAGCGGCATGCCCGACGCAACTGTGTAGGATTGCGCTTCAGACAAGGCCCACCTCACAAACAACAAGGCCCAGTACAGTAGAGAGATTCAAACAGAAAGAAAGCCTTGACGGCAAATGAGTTGATGTCACATTGTGTGCAGTGACCATCACAAACAGCTATTTGTTTGGTCGGAACTTTCCAGTTTTGAGATGAAAGTATTCAAGTACAGTGAAGGCAGTAGTAACGTTAGTACCAGTAATATGACGGATTCGGAATAAACCCGTTCTTCGAGTTAGATGATTGCCAGAGTAAGGTTCAAATGCGAGTGCTGAGAAGCTGCAGCCTTAGGGCAGGTACAAAGTGTACTTGTGGAGGTCTGCTTCCCTTGTGTACGTTTCGCCGCGAGAAACAGGACCAGCTGCAAGGTCGGTTGGCGTTTCTGGTCTCCCTGCAGACGTTCAAGACAGTAGTGAGTATATAATCATTTTGGACAAGGGAGACAAATTTTTAGTCCTCGTCGTCGGAGATGTTGCCCAAGGCAAGGACTTCGAAAAATGGTAAATGCGTATGTGCAGCGCGATGCTGTACGACTGCTGTTCTTGACCGGCTAAGCGGTCAAGATCGACTGATCTTGACTGCTTATTCTGGCCGCTCATTGGCCGTCTCCTGGCAACAAGCACGTGCCATGTCTGAACTTGTAATTCAGACATGGCACGTGCTTGTTGCCAGGAGACGGCCAATGAGCGGCCAGAATAAGCAGTCAAGATCAGTCGATCTTGACCGCTTAGCCGGTCAAGAACAGCAGTCGTACAGCATCGCGCCGCACATGCGCATTTAGCATTTTTCGAAGTCCTTGCCTTGGGCAACATCTCCGACGAGGACTAAAAATTTGTCTCCCTTCTCCAAAATTATTATAATACTCACTACTGTCTTGAACGTCTGCAGGGAGACCAGAAACGCCAACCGACCTTGCAGCCGGTCCTGTTTCTCGCGGCGAAACGTACACAAGGGAAGCAGACCTCCACAAGTACATTTTGTACCTGCCCTAAGGCTGCAGCTTCTCAGCACTCGCATTTGAACCTTACTCTGGCAATCATCTAACTCGAAGAACGGGTTTATTCCGAATCCGTCATATTACTGGTACTAACGTTACTACTGCCTTCACTGTACTTGAATACTTTCATCTCAAAACTGGAAAGTCCCGACCAAACAAGTAGCTGTTTGTGATGGTCACTGCACACAATGTGACATCAACTCATTTGCCGTCAAGGCTTTCTTTCTGTTTGAATCTCTCTACTGTACGTACATACATGTACTGGGCCTTGTTGTTTGTGAGGTGGGCCTTGTCTGAAGCGCAATCCTACACAGTTGCGTCGGGCATGCCGCCCTGATCAGGCCCTCGGTCATGTGAGTGATCTTGCCCTCGGTCGCGACGCCCTCGGGGCTACGCCCCTTGGGCGTCGCGACCTCGGGCAAGATCACTCACAGACCTCGGGCCTGATCAGAGCATCATGCCCTCGCAACTGTGTAGGATTATGTATATCATGTCCTGAGGGCCAGCATAGTGGCAGGAGTGTGTGGTCAAAATTTCACTCAAATCCATTGAGAAACACCAAAGTTACGGTCAATTGAATGCCATATGAAATTTATGGGTAGGCTGCCCCCTTAAATTAATCTACAGTCAGTAGACAGTGACAAGTTTGCCAGTTTTAGTATAAAGAGAAGAAGTAATCTACATGATTGTGCCAAGTTCTTACCACTCGGTCCGGCAAGGACAAGCAGAGCAGCGCCGATCAGGGTGTAAACTGAGAGAGACATGGCGAAAGGATGATTGTCGTGAGCAGCTATGGACGCGCGTGAAGGTTTTCCCAAGCTTGAGTCGAAAGCAAAACCCTGGAAGTAGCCACTGTCTACTGTGTCGAACTACTACAACTGTAGAGTGTAGTGTAGGCAACAACACGAAAAGAACTGAGAAATCCGATTCGCGCATTCAGTAGAATACACGTGCACGTACGTACATGCATATAATTGTTGTTGATAGATCACGGCGCATGCGCAATTGCGCTTGGCGGGACACAAGGCTAACTGTTCTGGCAGCCCATGCAGGTGCACTTTTTGACCTTTGGCCTTTTTCACATCATAAATGGCATACAACAGTACATAACAGTACATCGGAAAGTACCGGTCCGAATTAGAAACAGCTGCAGCTGCTGGAGCATGGAGCGGAGGTGGAGCATTGCGTGCACTCAGCCACTAGTGCGCAGGGCGCAAAGCCAAAAATTAATGTAGATCCTTCGCATCAGGGAGTCGCCAAATACCATATTTGACGACTCCCTGCTTCACATACGCACTCATACAAGCCGTTACAATGGCAACAACATATTGGGCCCCAGCCTCCAAAAATAATAGTTTTCAGTACATCAGCCGGGTCCGCGGGGTACTCATGTACTCATGACGGCCGGAATATCCAAGCGAAAGGCGCAATTATGTAACCAACAACTGGTAACGGTGGGGATGGGGGGGGGGGGGGGGGGAGGGGGAAGAGAATCAGTCTCACTTGAGCAGGGAGTGGTGCTTTCTTGCAGGTTCTTGCAGGTTTGCCGAGTGGACGGTTCGACGGACTTCTCGTGTGCTCTGGATGGCAGTCGTGAGTCAGTCAAGTGGGAATTCAAGTCGGCAGGAAAACCGCGAGTTCCCATGTAGGGATCCCCCGGGAGCAACACACAATTCCCCAAGTATCGCCGATGTCGCACCAACGTCTTCTTCACATAGTTGTCCCCAGCGAGGGCTTGCGAATTAGATGGTCTGGAGGCAACAACGTTGTTGTTTTCGTTGTTGTTTTCTTTATTTGAATCGCTAAAACCAAACGGACAGAACTGTCCAGTGACAAGGGAGCGAATGATGAGCGTCATAATCACTATGCATCAAAACATCTCAGGACAAAATGAGACAGACTATATTAAGGGAGGGTCTGCACAACACTTTTACATAAAGTGGAGTACGAGAACAAAGGGCGCGGCAGAAGTCGAAGCAAGAAAGCAATCAACGCCAGAGATATTTTGTCCGCCAAAAACAGAGAGAGAGAGAGAGAGAGAGAGAGAGAGAGAGAGAGAGAGAGAGAGAGAGAGAGAGAGAGAGAGAGAGAGAGAGAGAGAGAGAGAGAGAGAGAGAGAGAGAGAGAGAGAGAGAGAGAGAGAGAGAGAGAGAGAGAGAGAGAGAGAGAGAGAGAGAGAGAGAGAGAGAGAGAGAGAGAGAGAGAGAGAGAGAGAGAGAGAGAGAGAGAGAGAGAGAGAGAGAGAGAGAGAGAGAGAGAGAGAGAGAGAGAGAGAGAGAGAGAGAGAGAGAGAGAGAGAGAGAGAGAGAGAGAGAGAGAGAGAGAGAGAGAGAGAGAGAGAGAGAGAGAGAGAGAGAGAGAGAGAGAGAGAGAGAGAGAGAGAGAGAGAGAGAGAGAGAGAGAGAGAGAGAGAGAGAGAGAGAGAGAGAGAGAGAGAGAGAGAGAGAGAGATCCGAGAGCGAGAGAGAAGACAGAGAGAGAGACAGAGAGACTAACATATGAAGGCTGAGCCTCTACAACAGGGCTTTTACGTCTGAAAACAACCGCACGAATTAACAAGCAAGTTGTCAGAGAACAGGGAGAGAGACGGGCAGGCAGGCCAGCAGGCAGGCATATAATGAAAATATGGCGATAGTGATCCGTCTGACCTCAAGGGTTCATGCTGTGTGGAACAGCAGCAGTGCGAAATTGGGCCGGGTGCGGTATGGCCCGCACCTCGCTGGGCAACGCATTCCAGAGCCTAGCTCCTTGGAACGCGAGACAACTCTTACCCAGCTCAGTGCGGGTTGGCGGTGGTCTTAGACCCATAGGTAATTGCAGTCGAGTAGGAGCGCCACTGGTTGGTAGCAACAGCACTTGCAGTGTGGGGCTAGCACGGGAGTAGCGGCAGCGCCAAACCAGGAAGATGAGCTTCTGGATGAAGATCTCCCGGACACGGTAGGCGCCGAGTTGGACTAGCAGGTTTCTGGCAGAGGTGCGCGGCGAGCATCCGTACACAGCTCGAGCCGCACGATTCTGCAGAACTTGGAGGCGGTCCAGGTGCTTACCCGCCAGCGATGCTGAGAAGGCATTGGAGCCATATGAGAAATCAGGCATTATCACAGACTTGAAGTACTGGATGCGGCTTTGCATGCTGAGGCAGCGGCGCATCCGCCACAGCACACCGACTTTCTTGTTGAGGCGGGCAACGCACCTATCCATCTGGGTGTTCCAAGACATGGCGCTGTCAATGTGAACTCCGAGGTAGCGAGCAGAAGAGACAGATGGCAGCTTAGTCGCATGACACCATACGTCCAGTTCAGTTTGCGCTTCTAGCTTCCCAGCCGGTACTACCAATGCCTGACTTTTTGATGCATTAGGGATCAAACCTCGCTGCTTCAGCCAGTCAGCAATGCATGTCACTGCTCTGGAGAGAGTGGCGGTCAGTTCCTGTTGTGTTGGGCGACTGCAGGTCAGTGCGATGTCATCTGCGAACTGGATGGACTCAGCTTGTGCGAACTGGATGGACTCAGCTTGTACGTTGTGAATGGCCAACGGTCCTCAGCGCTTGTTCAGCACCACCATGAGCGCCACTGACTCACTCTGCTATCTGGTGTTCACGAGGTGTTTGTCGCGCTGGAAACGGAGCGTCTCCGTAAGTGTGTATCCCTGGTGATGTTTGTGCCTGGAGAGCACTACATGTATATAAGTGGTGCTCTTTACTACTTTAGTCCCCAGCCTACTCAAGCTCAACTGAGTAGTAGTAGTAGTATTGACATATCCGCGGCAAGCCGCTTATGTACAACGGCATGGGAGAGGATAACAAAAAAATGAAAATATATTTAAAGAGTCGGCGTGGAGAAAGCAATTTTATTAGTGCAATTAGGAGTATAATAGATGCAGACATGGCCAGACAACAACGAGTTCATGGAATTTTTAAGGATTTTTATGTTATTCAAAATCGATTTTCGTCACTTGTTATCACGTCCAGATTGTCTTAGTGTGTACGATGATTCTCACTTTTCTGTTTTGTGCCGCGCAAGTTATGTTAAGCAGTTGAAGGTTCTGGAAGCTGTATGTATTCGTGTGCATAATCCTGTTCTTTGTAACAAAAGAAGCATGTAGTCGGGCTAAAGTTGTTCTCGTAGCTGGTTATCAGATGTAAATGTTGTGTCATGTTGCACTGTATCACCTCATGCTTTGTGCCTGCACTCAGTTATATATGTTAGCACTATGTTTGACACCTATTATGTAATGCTGTAGCACTTCCTTTTTTTGTTCACACTTTTAATTATGCTGTTATAAAATGTTCTATTTTTGTACACAGTACCCTCAGTTCCGATACTATTCACTGATGAGCGGAACACGAAAATCGATTTTGAATAACATAAAAATCCTTAAAATTCCATGAACTCGTTGTTGTCTGGCCATGTCTGCATCTATTATACTCCTAATTGCACTAATGAAAATATATTGTTGGGGAAATCCACGCTATTATCGAATATTCAACAATGACGGGTGTGGGGTTATACCAAGCTCAACTTATGAGGGGTGAATTCCCCGAAACACTGTGTATTGAGCAGGGAGTGGTGCTTTCTTGCAGGTTTGCCGAGTGGCCGGTTCGATAGACTTCTCGTGTACTCTGGATGGCAGTCGTGAGTCAGTCAAGTGAGACTTCAAGTCGGCAGGAAAACCGCGAGTTCCCATGTAGAAAGCAACACACAATTCCAAAAGAGTATAAAAATAATAAATAAAAAAATTCGACGGTTTCGCGTACCGGGCAGGTCAAGAATAAGGAGTCGTACGAGGCCAATTTTTTGGCCTAAATTTCAGTGTATGGAATTCTGGACATGAAAGTAAAATAGAGTCAAAAGGCATCCTATACTGTACCATTTTGGTTATTTTTCTATTGCTGGACTGCAGTTGGCCTCTTCACACTTCCAGCCAACAGGTCCCAGACTATACAGCGTCGAGTGCACATGGGGAAGCCAACTTTTTATTTTACTCAAAATTCAAAATTCTCATGCGACATAGTACCACAAAACTCGTTGAAATGCCTCACAAGCAAAGGCTATCAACAAGGCATCGACACGAGGAGAAACTACAACAACCCAGTTGTCAACTACGGCAAGAAAAAACTTCATCAACCTGACTGACTTGACTCTACACGCGACGAAAAATTATTTTACTCGAAATGTCCAGAAATGTCCAATGTCCAGAAATAGCAATTCACCTCGTACAACTCCCTGGTCAAGGACCACCTTTCCGCTTCCGTGGGACGCCACCACCCCATGATCAGGCGTCAGATGCGGCTCCTAAACGGTGGGGGAGCATAGATCAGATCCACCAACCAGAGGCCAAAGGCCTAAATCCCATTTGTCACATCCATGTTCCTCATGCCAGGCCACGAGTTCCCAATTAGAATCCTTCCGCTTCCAAGCAGGACTTCAACCTGGTACCTCTCGTTTCTCAATCATCCACATTGACTTCGGAATCTTCTGTCCATGTATTCAAGAGAGAGCTGCGCAAACATTCTTGTCAGTATTCAGGTCTACTCGCTGGCATGCCGTTACCCTGTTCATCGTAGCCATCGTAAATTTGAGGTGCACAACATGCATGTAATTGGAGAACCGTAGAATGAAGCTGCAAGAAGAGCACCAAAACTCATCTTGAAGAGGAATATTGCCAAGTTGTGGCTTTTAAAAGTAAAAAAACTTTTCAGCACTTGTGCCAATGGCAATGGCCGGGATATGGGTGTGAGAGTGATTCTCTCTCCCCCCCCCCCCCCCCACACTGTTACTAGACGTTGGTGCTGCACCTCCCGCTTAGATACTCCGTCCGTCATGAGTACCTGTACCCATTACCCGTTGTTGTTGTTTATTTATTTTACATCGCATGTCAAACGGGCAGTTCTGCCCAATATTATGAAAGCGATGACAACCAGTAAGAAGA